TGTGTTAGTATGGGTCTATGTTTGTGGATCTTCACATGTATCTTATATGTGATGTATCTTATATGTGATGTGAGTACATGTTTATAAATCTATATACGTTTCTCCGTGTATCTATATAAGTTTCTGTGTTGATATCAATGGCTCCAAAGTTATTCCCTCCTTCTGCCCAACTCTACTTCTTTACTTCAGATGAACATTCAGAGTAAGATGCTATACTTTAATTCTAATAACAACATAGGAGGTAGGAACCAGTATCATCCTCAGTTCACAAATGAGGAATTGAGAATCAGAGAATTAGAGTGCATTTGACTAAGGCCACAGGACCAATAAGTGTCAGAGACAGAATTTAAAACCAGATCTGTCTGAAACCAAACCCATATTCCTTGTACTCTACAACAGATCATTTCAACTATCTTAAAGTGTCAAAGTCACACAGCACCAGTAAATGGTAAAGCCAGGATTGGAAGCTGGCAAATGTGCCTACAAAACTGTGTTCTAAACGTTGATTCTTTCTGAAATCAAATAAATTAAATTAAAATTAATTTAATTAATAAATTAAAGTTATTTAATCCTTGGAATAATCTAAAAGAAAGTATCTCACCCATATGTACAAATAGGTAAACAGACTCAAAGAAGTAAAATCAACTGTGAGCACGTGGGTCTCCTCTTCATATACTGTGATGTACAACAATATGTTGTTGGGGATTTGATGTAGTAGACTTAGTCTGCACTTCATAAAGTGAATCTGAATATTTTAGAGTTAGCATACATATCATGCTTCTCTTCTGGATATTTTAAAGCCTTCTAACTATTATACAACAAGTCTGGGTAGTATGGGGTGCAGCTGTGAAATTTGGGACAAATCGACGTGTTGTCATGGAGTGTGCACTATGCATTGTGAAATGCCTTTCCTTGAGTGTTATCTCTTCACTGCATCATGGTATGAATCTATGAGGATCACGGGGCAAGTCTGACGGTTCCAGGCCTAGTTTCTGAGTTAAATGGCACGTATCTGTGTGGTGCGAAGGTAGATGTCGTAAGGCAAGTTTATTGAGGTGAACTGAGTCTGAGTCTGAAAGAGAAAATCTTTTTGTTATGAGGGAAGTTTCCTTGTACTGGCAGGGGAGGGGAGTTCTATATGTTTTGGGGTGATAAGTATTTATGGGTTTTTTTGATAGCATCTTCCTGAAAGAAAGGTCATTCTAGGTGTTATGAACAAGTATGTGGATTGTTTCAAGTGTTGATAATTTGCACGTCCTGTGAAGGAGTTTCCTGTGGTGACAGTCTTGCCTAATGGGATATGTGTGTGTGCAGTAAGATTGTTTTGTACATTATAGGAGGCACACATAGATGGTATGAGGTAAAGCTAAGAATCATAAGCTCTGGGCCCAGTGAGTCCTGGGCATGTAGTCTGGAGATAATATACTTTGTGTGAGTGATTCTGGGGGTTGTAACTTTTCTAATTTTTGGATGCATTTATGTACACTACTAGGGGAGTCTATAGTCTGTGGAACTGGTCTTTACAGTGTAGGTAGGGCATGTCTAGCTCTTAATGGTTTATACATTGTAGTCAGTACATTGTTGGATATGTCTTCAAGACATGGGATGAGTAAATGCTTCATGGGTTGATTCTACATAGTTCTAAGTGAATCTGTCAAAGAGCCAACCTTTTTAGTTTTTTTTTTTATTCTTTGCATTTTACACTGTGCCTACGCCT